CTATCCAGCCTCTGAGGTCACTCTCATTTCTCCAATATCTTATTGACTATCTAAGTCAGCCCCATTCACTGAGGGACCACAGAGGCGTGGAAGTCTGGAGGCAAGAATCATTGAGGATCATCCTGGGAGAATTCATCTTTTTCTGAATTCTCCTAAGTATTTAATTAGGGATCTGGGAGGAGATGAGTCATGGATTCCCACACAGTTACCATTTTAAATGGCAGCTTCAGCTACTATGAGACAACCAGGAAGCAGCCTCGCTCTCCTTGCCTGATTACTGTTTTTTTTTCTGCTGACATTCAAAGACTACCATTACCTGAAAATGGAAGAACAAATTAGTAAAGAATCACATTCCAGAAGACCTCAACTCAAGTGTCAAAAGATCTGAAGAAGGAGAAATGCAAGAAAAGTACTGTTCTAGTGCTTACTAGAAATGATAGCTTTCAATTTATTCTAGAGATTCAGCCTTCTAGAAGAAGGTTCACAGGTGGCAATTTAGGCAGGAGTAGATTACAGACTAACGTAACAGATTTGGACAAATTTCTACCGTATGCTACATTCACACACCTGTCCTTTTCTTATGGGACTATGACAGCTAATCTTCTCAAACTGAAGACTAAACTTGCCAGGTTTTGATCCTGAATATGTTTTGTTCAAGAAACAAAGTTCTCTCTGAAATGGCATTAGCAAGTGTTCCCCCACAACCCCTCACTCTCCAGGCTTGTGCTGCGTTAATATGTTTCTTAGTGATTAGAGTGGGAGTCATAAACTTTGGCATAATTTTTCTAAATAACATTTGAAATAAAAGACCAGACACCTTTACAATTATAAGAACAATACATACTCTTTAAGAAAATTCAAGAAAGTCAAAAAATAAAATTAAAAAAATCACTAATATTTTGGTTGGTAACATGTCAGTCTTTGTTTTGCCAGATGAACATACAGATGCGTGACTAAAGGAGTTTGTAGTCTGCATTTACTTAACATATCGTATGTGCTTTTTCATGCCTTAAGTTTATATAATGAAATTTATTTTAATGACAACATTGGATGACATCTATAGCTATACCTCTATTTGTTTTACCTAGTTATTTATTATTAGGCATTTAGGCTCTTTATAGGTTTTTATTGTTATTATTATTATCATTATTATGAATCAAAACATCATTGTGGATAAATATCTGTATATGACTTTAATCTTTTTCCTTAGATAAATTCCTAAGGTGTTTTTTGAATACCTGTATGTAACTGTCCTTCAAGATTATTTTTTTAAAATCAGTTTCAGATCTACACACAACCCTCAGTATTATCATTTACAAATAACACAGGTCTTATAGAAGGTAATTTTGTCTTCACTTTACGCTTTCATTACTAATGAGGGTAAATATCCTCCAAACGGTTAGTGTGTATTTGCCTTTCTTCTTCCACTGTTGTCTGTTCATGTTCACTTCCTGTTTCTTTTTTTATTGTGGAGTTAGTTGTGTTTTTAATTCTTACTTATTGGGAAGAAATTTTTATTAACATGCTAGATGTTTTTGCCATTTATTTTGCAAACATTCTTAAACTTTTCATTTGCCTTTTATGTGTATTTATGAAATTTTTAAAAGGAACGTTTGTCTAGTTTGTCATAATCTACTTATCTGTATTTTCCATTGTGATATTTGTAGCCCGAGTTACATGCATATTTGGCCAAATTTTCAACTAAGTTAGTTACAACTATGTACCTTTTTATATTTAACACAATGATCCCATTGGATTTTTGTTTTTGGTTTTTAATGTGCATTAAGGACATATATTTTTCCATAATAGATAAACTGACAATATGTAGAAAAGTAAGTTTGTATTAACTTTTTTTGTAATTATTAGAAGCATTTTGAGTCAGTAATCCTGCTTCTTTGTCTTCTTATTCTTTGGCCATTGTAATACTAAAGAGCTACAAACGGGAGTAACTAACAGATGTACAATATATTCTGCATGACGTAACTTACTAATAGCAAAAATTGGAAGCAACATAAATATGCAAAAATAGCATTACATAACTGGTAAATTAAAAAAATTACAATAGGAAAACATGTAACTACTGAAATCAGGTATTTGAATAATGTCTAATTACTTGGGAAAACTCAAGATATAATCTTGACTACAAATAGTAGACTACAGAGGTATGTGTGTAGTGTAATCTCCTTTCCATAGATTACATTCAAATTATATTTTAGTTAGAATATATTCTATGATATGGCATTTTCCAACCTGAGTGTATATTATTATATTAAATTTAACAAACAATAATGAATTTTGAAAGATATATATGTGATTATGAAATCAAAGGGAAATAACATTCTTTCTCTTGGATATAATTATATAATGATTAATTATGATCCTGTTTCTGATTTTGGATAGTCTCAAGTGTACATACCTAGATTTAGTCACCACAATTAGCAAGCAAGCATGAGTGTCTCATAATTGTAATGACAGAACATTTATTGACTCATTAATATTTATGATGAAACATATTGGCAACTTATGAAATAATTTCCTGAAGTTCCTTCAAGCAGCTTAACTATAGAGATTTTTACATTGGAAACTTCTCTAAAAAATAGCAAACTTTGGTAGCATTGGGAAGGAGGAGGATTAGTCTCATGTTCAAATATATTCTACAATTGAATTAAATTTCAGGTCTGATTTGCTTTTCATGGAATTTTTTTTCCTGAAGTAACTTCTAAATATTGTTTCAGTTGTTTGCTTCTTTGTGTGTTCAACATCTTACACATTGTGTAGAATCATCTATATATTTACAGTCAATAAAAATTTTAATTCTTATGGCACAACAATATACACATATTAGGTAGAAAGTTAAGTATTCCTGGGTTAGATTTTAAGGGTGTATGACTGTGTTCAGAGTCAGCTGCAGAGGCAAGCAAGCTGTACTGTTGCACGGGGCTCCAGAACCAGAGGGTCCCACCTTTGTTTTAATATTTTGCTGTCAAGGTCTTGAAGTTTTTAGTAACTTTTGAAGAGAGGGCCCTGCATTTTAATTTTGCACCCAACACAGCCAGTTATGATCCTGATGGTATCGGTTAGGAATTTTTTGGACTAAGCAACAATTATCATCAAAACTACAACTGCAACTTGCCTTAGTTAAAAAAGGATATTTGGGGAGGGGCGTATACCAAATGTTTTCAGGGGTTAGATGACTTCAGGTGAGACTTTATCCAGGACTCCCACTGTGGGATCAGGTCGTGCTGCCCTGGGCTCGCTGTGTCTGCAGGCTCACCAGCGCGCATGTTTTGGAAACAAGATGGCTGTCGGCAGGTTCTGAGATGTGTGGTCTGTTGTTTTTTCCAGGACGGAAGAGTATCTCTTCTCCAAACCTTTAGCTCATAGTTCTGGATTTCACACTAGTTGGCTTAACTGAATCTATATGTAAAGAGATGAGAAATCACTAAGGCAGGGAGAGGGGTGATGCTGACTGTCCCAGGCCTGCACTACAGGAATGCCTCTAAAGATAGTGTGGAGGTCGTCTGTTTCTGGAGCTGCATAGTGCAGGAATGAATGAAATCAGGGGCTCCTACAAAAAAAAAATGGAGCTGGATGCTAGGAGGCAAAATTTGTTTTGATGACTTTACAGAGAAACTAAAAGTTTATTTAAAAACAAAAACATAATGTCATTAATTTAATTTTATTTGGGGGAACTGATTGAGAGAGTGGAAAAAAAGGTTTGTAAGTCCTTTCCGCATAAATTTGTTTTGTATTTTCTGTTATGTAGCTGAAAACTCAAATATTTGATGATTGAGCAACATGGGTTTAATTAGCTGGAGTGGTATAACATCACATATGAAAAAATAAAGGAAGAATAATATGCCTCCCTAGCGATGATGAGAAAAAAACTGTTGAAAGTATTTAGAATAAATATAAGACATTTGCTAGCGTTAGTGCGAGGGGTTTGGGGGTTTAGAGTATCTGTAACTTGCCATCATTGAAGGCATGTCTGATACTCTCTTACTTGGTACAAAGCAATGAGGGATCACAATGTTGAAGCATTCTTCCTCTTGCAAACTAAAATCAGAGGAAGATTTTCTTTTTTTTTCAATAAAATTAAATGCTATATAATTTGTAAGTCAGGATTGCAGCATTATTCTTACTCTGCCAAGGCTTACTAACATTCCTTTCCAGGGCTATTCCTCCAGTTAACTATGAGGACACAGCAAGTTCAATGCAAAATAGAAGGGTGGTTTCATGAAGTCAAGATCATTTCCAAAATGTAGACTGACTGTTCTCAACAGAGATTATCATTGTCATTATCTGGATGGTCAATACACATCTATTATTGGGCAGAAAATGTACCAATTCAAACTTACAAGACAAAAATCTCAAAGTAGAAAATGATCATCTCTTTTACAGAAGCGTAACCTCAGTTTTTTAAGCAGTGACATTCATGCTTTATTTCAGTGTCAATAGTCACATTACATTAACTTAAGGGTACAAATTAAATAGTATGTGTAGTAATGGATAATAAGATATTATTATTATTATTATTATTAATTTTTTTGGTGAATGGTCAAAATGAGAAAAATAACCTGATAGGACAATTGGAGAAAAATTCAGACCTCCAGCACCATATGTCTCTGTCTTAAATGGGTGACCAGACTCTAGAAGGTGACAATTACTATTCCCCATGTATGCAGTGGAAATGAGCCCCAAAGCTTAATTTTCTCTTTTCAACACCACAGTATGCACAAATACACCTTAATTTTTCTTATATGTTCTGCTTTCTTCATTTGAAGTGCACTCAGTTCAAGCAAATATTTTCTCTCTGGAGAAGAGGGAAGTCCCAACTTCTATTTCTTATAATCAACTCAAAATTGTAGTCCTAAATTGACCAGCAAGTGTTTTGGAGTTTGGGATTCATAGTATAGGGACTGAAGGATATTCATCAATGTGAAATGTACAGAAAATTAAAATGTAGTTTATGCATTCTTTGGCTGTTCATTCAACAGACATTTATGGGATGAGTGCTATGTGCCAGCCATTATGCTAAGATCTAGGTAGGGTTCCCTCCTCTAAGAAACTTTAAGTTTGTAAGAGGGAAACAGTCATGTAGACAAGTAGGAAAGCAAATTGTAGGTGAGATTAACAGATTTTAGTAGAAAACAAAAGTGGAACCGGTCATTTATATTTGGAGATAAAGGAAAAAGGTTGTAAAAGAGGTTGCCCACGACATTATTTTGGGGAGGGGTTGTGTCAGATGATTAGGAGTTTGAAGGAAAGAAAAGTGCTCTCTGTCCCACTCATCACTGTTAAGCAACTACTTTGTTAGTGTCAGCCACGGAAAGGAACGGTCTCCGTAAAGAAGAGTCAGATACTTTCTGAAAACACACTTTCATCACCTAGGATAAACGTGGTGACACTCATCAAATAGTGGATGAATGAAGGGATGAATAAATACATTGAATACCCTTGTTCTTAGGAGCTGAGAGTCTTTAAAAGAATTATAAATCAGATTTTGTAAGACTGTTGGAAAAATAGAGCTAACTCTACTGAACACGGGAGTGCTTCACAGAAGAAAGTGAGTCTTCAAGGCTGAATAGGAATTTATCACCTGGAGGAGTAAAGAACTTTTCAGGCAGAGGGAATCACGGATGGAGTCTCGGAGGAGTGGGAGGACTTGATGTGTTGGGGGGTTAGTGTGATAAGGTTCAAAATGTCATGAGGCGAGAGGACTTTAGTGATGGGGTTGATTAAGTTGAGATAGACAAGAGATTTATTTCTTTGCAACATCAAGAGTGAAATGGAGATCACAAAAGAGTTATTAAAGATAGAAGCATTCATTGAAATGTTTACAGATCTCATTTGTCAGGCTCCAACTCTGTACCCCAGAACATTAGCTTTTTGGTTTATATATGTGATCTCGTACAATTCCCCCACCAAAGGCTGATGAAGAAATTTTATTACCCCCATTTTTCTAATGAGTAAACTAAAGATTGGAGAATAAAATAACTTCCCAAAGGGCACACAACTTGTAAGAGGCAGTGGAATGTGTAGCCGCCAAAAGTGGCATTCGCCTGTGCAGAGTTTGCAAATGTCTGTGGGTCCCTTGAGCAGGTCAGGCGAGGAAAGCATGCTGTCGATCAAGCTTGCATATTCTTGCCCTTTAAGAATAGTAGTCACAGTTGTCACCCCTGTCTCTGCACAGGCTTTCCTTTTTGACTATTTATAATGTATATCTAAACTGAAACGCCTTGCTGCCTTAAGCCGCAGCTCGATTGCCTTATCAGGTTTTGAACAAGGTGCAATGCCGCTCTGCACAGAGAGTAGGCATTTTCATCTACATTTTAATTTCATCTGGTCACCCTGTAGGGTCTTACTTGAGCATCATCTTTCACTTGGCTGATTCATTGTTCATTTGCCAGTGTGGTGAGTTACACCCAGCCCTCTCTATCCTGTCACTCTTTTTTCTTACTGCTGAAGGACCCAGGATAGCTCCTGCTCTACATGAGGGGACAGAAGCAGCGATGGTTTAATAATTTTTAAATTAATGTTCTTACCAACAGCAAACTTATTGGAAGGACTAGAGGACAAGAGAATTGCCTGGAGAATTCATTTGCATCATTAGATGGACGTGTATATGTGTGTAGAGGGTTGCTTTGAAGGCTTTTATCATTATAAAATTGTAATCAACAATATATTTGTTGTATCTTCCTTCCCCATCATTTTGAGAGAACAGCCTGCATTCTTGAAATAAATCTTTTACAAGACCTTTCAAAGTTTTAGCAGCAGAGAGCTCTGTAAGGGATATCTCCAGGCGAGGAAGTCAACAAATTGTAAGACTTGAGCATCTGCCAGACTTTTGTTCCTCCTGGAATTGATATATTAAAGTCAGAACTAGTGCAGGGACTCTGAAGATGGGCACTCAGAGTCTTACTAAAACGTTGTTTTCTTCTGAAGCTTTGTTTTCATCATTTCCAAAGACATGTCACGTACAATACCTATACTTTGCAGCAAAGGCAAAATGCCATTTATTCCAACTCCATCAATCTGTCAAACCAGACAGCTTCTGGGATGTGGTTAACCTTTGAAATCAGTGATGATGAGCAAACGGTAGGATAAGCGTATTTCCAAAGTGTTGATTTTACCTCCTTAGAAGGTAATGCGTTTAAGGGCTTCAAAAATTTCTATTTACAAAAGGTATGCTGTCTGGAGGTCATTATACTTTCTTAATGTCACATTTCCCAAGACAAACTATGATAGCACTGGACAATGTATTGAAAATGTGACCTGTACCATTTACTAGTTTCATAACTGAATAAATCAATAAATATTTCTTCTAAATCAATAAATATTTCTTAATATCTATTTCTTCTTAATTTTTAAAGGATGTAGTGTTTGCCTTCCAGGATTGTGGGTAAGAATTAAATAAATACTGTTTTTGAAAAACTTTGAGAATTAGATAACATTAATTAAAGGCAAGATACAAATATATGCATTCTCTGAAACTCTGCTCAATAACAAGAAGAATTAAGATCTCATGTATTTTTGGTTCCAGAATGTTCTATCATCAATAAATATTGAATGTTGCCATGTTAGTTTTTGAGCTTTGTAGTTTTCTGGTTTTCCAGTTTCACCAAGTTGCTTGAGCATAGAGGTCATTATCAGATTTACTTCTATCCTTGAAAGCTAATTCATTTAGCAGACACTTGGAACAGGAGCTGCTATAATGAATGGAGTTAGTGAAATGGAGAAGGAGGCCAATTTTGTCTTTCCAGCTGCCCTAGATACTGTGCCTGACTCTGACCCCTCCTCCCCTCTCTCCTCCTGTCTGTCTACCTTTGAATCAGTTTCTCAAGCAGGTGCTTGCTCATTCCAATCCATTGATACACAATCTAAAGTGTATTTGAACAGCTGCAAACTTCTAAAAGACAAAAACTCTGAAGTCTCCAAAATGAACATACAATTGTATAAGTTCAGTCTGCATTTTAGGTAATAAAAGTCAGGGTGGATATTTTGGAACTGAGGACTGAAAATTATACCAGAAAAAATGGCTGCCTTCTTCTAAGGACTCTCTTGTTTTTACAGGTATTCTAGCCACATATTCATAGTATCAACATTGTATTCAAATAGATTTTGGTAAAGTTGATAATGATAATGTGATTTAAATGTCCCAAAAATGAAGAGTTAAAGGAAAAAAACAATTATAATGAAGCGTGTAATTCTAATTTTAGAACTACAGGAAGAAAAAATAAGGAATATATCTGCATACTGAGAAATACATACAGATAAAAAATAAGGAGGCCAGATATTAAAAGTATGAACTTTATAAAAGGTATTGCCTAATTGTTTTCTACAGTTTGAAACTTTACATCTACTAAAATAAGTTTGTGGACTATATGCAAAAAGAGTTTTAAGATGCATACACAAAATTATGTATGCATAATTTCACACTTCACATCTTTATCGTACTTGAAAGATATAATTATTACATGTATAATAGGTATCAAACTTCTGAAATCTTAACTACTTCACTATTGAAAAAAGCAGACATTTCACTTAACATAGAGATTTTTCTTTTGGTGTGTTTTGCTTGTAAACTGAAAGACATAAAATTTTAAAATGCTAGGGAACACATTTTAGTCCATTTCAGATATTAGAACAAGTATGTGAATGCTTTAGAAAAGTGCTCTGTATTTTGACAGTTCAGACAACTTACATAAAGTACTGAAAATGAAAGCAAAAAATCCCTTTCAAAGAAGTAAATTTAGTAAGTTATTTGAGAAAAAATAGAGCCCACACAAAATTTTTATGGTGTTTTATTTTTATAGCCCATCCACTTAATAATTTTAATTTGCCTCATCATTGTGAGCTCAGAAAAAATGGGTCCTGAAGAGACAAGTGGGGTTTATTCGCAATTTGACACATCATCAGTGTAGTCACAGAATGTCAATCTAGTGTGTGGTGATCAGTTGTTCCAACATGGCTATTGTCCTAGGTGCCTATTCTTAAAACTAGAAGAAATAAATAGAAATCAAATCAGAAAAACTGGGACAAGATTACATTTTAAAAAATTGGTCACAGAGTTGTTCTTAAAAGATTTAATACTTAAAAATGTGTTGAAACTAGAGCAAATGCAGCATTATGAATAGCAAAATAATATTTTAAAGCATCCTAATTTTATTTCTTTATTTATTTTACAGAAATAATTGAAGTTTTGAGAAGTAAATGAACCTCCCCAAGGTCCTATAGTTTTTTTGTAGCAGAGATAAGATAAGAATCCAAGTGTTCTTTATATCAATCTAAAATCATTCATATGATGGAACTTTATGAAGGAAATGCAAAGTACATCAAAAAATATATATGGTAGCATGTCAAAAGTGCTTTAAAATTACCAAAAAAAAAAAAAAGAACAAAGTTAAAACACACTAATGAAATCCTGTAATTTCCTCTTAAAACATAATAGTATCAACTCGAAGTATAAAGAATCGGCAAATCCAAGGTCATTCTCTAGAACAAGCAGACTTGACATTTTTGTCTCAAGAATAATAACAAGGAAAGAACAAAGATGAAACCTAAATTTTTAGGCTTGTGGTCAAAATAATTGTGGATTTATTTGTAATGATTGATTAAGCTGAGGACTGGAAACTACCACCACCAACAGGATAAAATCTTGAGATTTCTACTTTAGAAGATGGAGTAGCGATAAGACTAGATGTACCCTCCCCCCAAAAACAACTAAAATGCCAAACGAAATACATGAAACAACTTTAAAGCTGTTGGACATTAAGCAACAAAGGGTGGTTACCTTTGAGAACGGTGAACAAATGATATGAGCCTTATTATTGCCCCAGATCACTGCCTAGAGAAACAATACAGGTGGTGGTTCTGGCATAGGAATCCTAGGCAAAGCCTGGTAGTCTTTCTGACTTGAAAATATTGAGATAGAGGTCAGGGAAAGCCAGTGTCGCCAGAGTTCTCAGAGCAAACAGAAGAGCTACACACAAGAAGAACTCGAGATCTACAAATCATCCCCTTAGAGTTCAGCTGAGTATCGATCAATGCGTGTACATGGAGAAACTGCCTGAGATTCAAAATGATCTACCTGAGATTCAAAATGGTCCACCTGAAAGGATTAGAAAGAACAGTGATTAGACAGGGCTAGGAGTACCACCTGCTCTCAACAAGCAAAGTGGAAAACTTCATAGTTCTCAAGACATTAGTTCGAGTACTCAGGAGGATTTTTGTCTTATTAGTGGGACAAAATTAGCTTGAGACTAAATACTGCTTTGGTCTTGCCTAAAAGCTTAAAGGAGAGAATCCCCCACATCAAGCTGTTCCCAAGTAATTTAACTGAATCCCAAAACAAAGCATGGAATTTTTTTAGGAATTTAAAATTATTCAGCAAGGTAAAATTCAAGATGTCTGGCATCTAATTAAATGCTACCAGACATGCAAATAAAATGAATGTACAATGTATTATGAAGAGATAAATTATTCAAAACCTACTCAGAAATAACAAGGATAATTGAGCTAGCAGAGGACATCAAATTATTATAATTGTCTTCCATTTGTTGAATAAGACAGAAGATGAACATGCTAAGTAGAGACATTACAGATATAAAAAAAGACAAAAATCCAAGTGCTAGAGATGAAAATTGCTGTGCCTGAAGTTGAAAACACACACACACACACACACACACACACACACAGGCAGCAGACAGATTACATATTGTGGAATATTTATTGGTAGAAACTATACAAAATGAAACACACAGAGAGAAAAACTGAAAAGACAAATAAACAGAGCATGAGTAAACTGTGGAACAAATTCAAGTTGCCAAACACATATTTAACTGAAAAGCATGAGGGTGATTTTTAAAGAAATAGTGACCGACAGTTGTTTAATTTGAAAGAAAACTATAAACCTACTAATCCCATAAGTTCAATGAAACTGAAACACAATAAGCAAAAGCACAAATACACTAAAGAAAATCATAATTAAATTTCGTGAAACTACAAGTTAAGAGACAATACACCAGTTGGAGTTGAAAACATCACTTTATAAAGAGGAGAAAACACCAGAATGATAAAGATAAGGCAGATTTCTCATCAGAATAAATAAAAGGTAAAAACAGTGGAACAATATCTTTAAGGTTCTGAAAGAAAAAATAAATGATGATCTAAAGTCCTTATGCAACACAAATATGGTTCAAAACTAAGATAGAATAAATATTTTTCAGACACATAAAAGCCAAAAGGATTAATCATCAACACTACAAGAAATACTAAAACAAATCCAGCAATCAGAAGGAAACTGATACCAGATGGAAACTGGAATGTACAAGAAGCAAAAAGTTTACTTAAAAATGGCTTTGAAAATGTTAACTACATGAGGAAATATAACGATATGTAAAAATTCTAAACTTCTTTCAAAGACAGAAAAGTGCAAAGCAAAAATAATAACAATGTATTGTGGGACCTATGAAATATATAGAAGCATAGTGTCTGATATCCCCACATAAGCCAGGAAGGAAGAAATGTAAGTACACATTTGTAATGTTCATATACTACATGTGAAGTAATAATAACCCTTAGAAGTAGACTGTTGGGGGGATGGGGAATATAGCTCAAGTGGCAGAGCGCATGCTTAGCATGCATGAGGTCCTTGGTTCAATCCCTGGTACTTCCTGCAAAAGTAAACAAATAAATAGACATAATTACCTCACCCCCTACAAAAAATAAGCAAATAAAAAATGTTAAAAGATAACCTGATGAAATAAAAAAAGAAGTAGACTGTAAGCTAAAGATGTATACTATAAGCCTGAAAGCAACCATAAAGTATTATGACAAAGAGTTACACCCAGTAATCCAAAAGAAGAAATAAAGTGGAATTAAAAGAAAAAAACTACTCAAGTAATACAAAATAAAGCAGAAAGAAAGGAAAGGGAGAACAAAAGATAGATGGAACAATTAGATAACAAATAACAGGATAAAAAGTCCACTAACAATAAATACTGGAGAGGATATGAAGAAAAGGGAATTCTCCTACACTGTTGATGAGAATGTAGTTTGGTGAAGCCATTATGGAAAACAGTATAGAGATTCCTTAAAAAACAAAATTAGACTTACCATATGATCTAGCAATTCCACTTCTGGACATGCATCTGGAGGGAACACTAATTAGAAAAGATACATGCACCCCAATGTTCATGGCAGCACTACTTACAATAGCCACAACATGGAAGGAATCTAAATGTCCATCGACAGATGATTAGATAAAGAAGTATTCTATAATGGAATACTACACAGTCATAAAAAAGAATAGAACAATGCCATTTGCTGCAACATGGATGGACCTGGAGATTGTCATTCTAAGTGAAGGAAGTCATAAAGAGAAAGACAAATGTAATATGATACCACGTATATATGGAATCT